CCTTGATGGGTATTAAGGTATGTGTGTGTGTGTGTGTGACATATTATTTGGACAAAATACACATATTTCATAAGCTTTTGGAAAATTATTAAGTTGGATTAAAATTGGGTTGTAAATTTGTGTGGTTAGGGATTAAAGGAATTTGGTTTTTGGATTGTTTTGGTTGGACCACACGGGACATCTTCCCCTTTCCTTTCCCCCGTGCTCTCTCTCTCTCCTCTCCGTTTCAGTCTCACTCTCTCCCTCTCGAAACCGTACAGACGAGACCAAATACCCTCGAACTTTCACGGATCGACGCCAAAAAGGTAAGGTTCTTCATCCTTTTGACCTCCTGAGTCGTTTAGTACTAGTTTTAGAACGAGAAACCTTCGAAATCACGTGAAACCCGAACCCCAGTTTTATGTCACTGTTCATGCATTCGTGATATGTTGATTATCAAGGAATTCTAAGCTTATAGTGAGCTTAGTGAGGTCCCAAGGAAGCTCGGAGTGCTTCGTTTGAAGGTTTTGGATGTCGGGATCATTGAGTTCGAAATTGGCCGGTTTTCTTGGAATTTCTCCGGTGAGATTTCATAGTTTTTAGAGCCTTAAAGTAGTGTAACGTGAAACTACATGCTTAGGGCTTCATTTTGATATAAAATACGAAGAAAATGGTTGAGAAATGACGGAGAACAAGGAGATTGAAAAATCTCCAGTTTTCCGGCCACCGGAAAAACCAGTTCGGCGAGCTCGAGGTAGGAGACGTGCGTCGGGGGCGTGTGGACCCGTGCCTGTCCAGGTGCGTGGGGGCGCGTGCAGCCTCAGAATTTTTTTCTAAAAATTTCTCGACGTCCGTGATGTCGAGTAGGTCGATGTGGTATATTCATATACCCAATTTGAGCACCGTATGAGAAGTTATTACGAATTGTCGGTTATGTGCTTTAATTAACGTTTTTATAGTTGTTTCGCATATAGGTGACACCTATCCCGAGGACGAGCGCATCCAGGGACGTCACGGGGGTTATGACCCATCGACTTACCAGTGAGTGGGCAGTATTTCTGTTTATACCTATATACTATTGATATTTTCCCCAAAAATTGAGTTTAAATGAAAGTATGTTTTAAAATGCCATGCATGCATACTGTGAATTATATGAATTGATAATTGATGCATATATATATGTGAATTGGTGCTATGGACGTACAGGTGAGTATCAGGTGAGTTTCATGTTATTCATACGATTTATTGTAATATGAATTGCGTTGAGTGCTCATAACCTGCACCCCTGGTGTTAGTGCTTATATTATTCACCGCACCACACGCTCACCTTGGATCCAAGTAGGTGCATGTTGTACAGACCATGTGAAGGTTCCGACATGCTAGTCGTATAGATCACTAGAGGTGGTTCCGACTAGTAGGTGACCTTAGATTATGCGCGCAGATGATTGATGAGAGAAGCACTAGAGCGTATTCTTACACCTTTCTTATCGTACATACTACTTTAGGTAGTTCCGATTTATGTGCAGAGTAGTGTTGTACAGGTCACCGTGGTGACTCCGGCTGGGTTGGATATTGAGCTATAGAATGAACCGTACAGGACCAACTGCGGGGTCTCCGGTTGTTTCATTATATCACCTGTTATATTGATGCACCCATATTCTGTCATTGACATTATTGCATGGCATACTTGCTGGATTTTGGTAAAGATTAATGTTTTGAGAGATTTGATCAAATATTATGCTATTATGTTATTTTCTGGGAAAGTATACAGGTTTTACAGTGAGGGGTTAGAAATGTTTTAAATGAAATATTTTGGAACTTTGGTTTTACTGACCCACTCAATTTTGTTTTGCGCCCCTCCAGGTTCTAGTTAGCAGCGTTGGTGGCCCACGAGGATCCCCACGGTGTACTGACAGACTACATAAATGTAGGACTCACATGCGGGTGTTGTAATCTAGTTATGGTCCTACTTGACTGCACCTAGTTCTTAGGCTCTGAATATGTGTGTTTCACACTTAAACTTATTCTAGCACGTTACTTGGTTATTCTGCTAGTATCTGGTTTTTATTACTTGTATGTTCTTATCTATTGCTTCCGCGTCGCACTTTTGGTTACGTCACGCTCACGTGACGGCCATCACGCCTTGATTCTAGGATCAGGGTGTGTCATTTTTAATATAATATATATTATGGATAATTTTATCACTATTTTTCATATGTAATTTTATTTTGAATATTTCAATTTAAATTAAGGTAATTAAAAAAAATAAAGATACAATTAAATTAAATAAAATTAAAAAAAAAGTAAAAATTCGAAAAATCTTGCGCTACCAAATATTTCATCACACAAACAATTACTATAATTAAATTAAAATAAAATACCGTGCGCAACAAAATATTTCGTCTCGCAGACAATTAATTTGTCGAGTAAAATATTAAATTAATTTAATTAAATAAAAAAACTAAAAATTGACACACTCCGACCTAAATCGAGGCGTGCCGAGCCGGGATGTGACAATTACTTTGTGCAACAAATATTTATTTTTGTCACGCAAACCCTATCGTAAGGAGCTTTGCGCGACTAATCATGCATGACAAAAATTTCTTCTCTCAAGGTTTTGAACAACAAAATCATACTTTACGCAACAAATCTTATTTGTCACGCAAAATGTTTTTTTTTGTAGTAGTAGCATTTGAAAATAGTTCAACTCCTTATAAAACATGTAAAGCCCCTAAAATTTCTCGAAGTAGTACGATCCCTTAACCTTGAGTCACATCAGGCAAACAAATCTTGACACATGAACCCTTATTCATCGGGATATTAGTCATGCATGCCTTTAATTTCAATTATATAGCCACCTTCACATTTGGTGTTGATTAACTACTCACTTAAGGGTATGAACTGACTATTATAGTTATTAGCTTAATTCCATGACAACAAATATCTTAGCGTGTTCATATGTAATTCGGATACCTGGGGCCTCGTACTGTACTTCATTAATCATCTTCTTCAAAATAGTATTTTAATTTTTTTTTAGGGTTTGATAAGAGTTAAATATAAAATACATGGCACCACTTTTTGTCCACAATTTTTTATATAAGGTTTTGTGGGACTTATTCCTTGATGTATTTCAATTATTTGAACTATCTATCTTTAGAACATCATTTATTGATCATGTCTATCAAAAATTACCCAAATTTGAAACCATATGACTGTTGGATTGCAAGTTTAGGGTTTCTTTGTAGAACCATATTTTATCTTTTTTTTATTATTAATGAATGTCTTAATGGTTTAATATTTATCTAATTTTTTACAAGGATGGTCTATGAATAATGTTCTAAAAGATAGATGGTTTGAATCGTTAAAATACATTACGTAATGACTCTACAAAAACTTGTGTAAAAAAAGTGGTATCACAGATACGTTTCCTATAAATATAGTAAAGCTTTCTGGGGAAAATTTGCTTCCACGCGTGGTGTTCGAAATTTACATGATTAAAGTACTGCAAATTATGTCTGAAGAGCATTCATTCCTACATGAAACTGCTAGAACAACTCCTCCATACTTTTTGGGCCCTCATGCAACATGAAATGAATTTCATATCAAGAGCACACGCAGGTGTTTGTGATGATTCATATTGACTGAAATGTTTGTTCCTACTGAATAAGGTATATATCTGCACAATCCATCACACGTGTTATGCTCAATTACTCTCCAAAAATTAACTGTGCGTGATTGCTCACAGTTATTATCTAGATTACCCCAAAACTCATCATTCTATATGTTGGGCTGGAAATTTTATTTCATCACATTCATGCAACTCTGTAACGTACGTACATATATACATATATGTAGGAAATGTACGTAATTTGGACGGCTCTGAAAAATACAGGTAGTGCCGCCGCACAGTACATTCAAAAGCTTAGAGCCAACACTGTATATAATGTTTCTCATATGGCTTTGGTGCTGTCAAGATATTGGCAAACAAATGTTAAATTAAATTTGGGCAGAAAGCGAGGTTGGGGGGAATGTGAGGTTTTATAGTTATAATACTATTTGGGAAATTGGAACTACGTACAGTCACCAAAAGAAAGAGCCAAAAAGGATACAAAATATAGGGAAATGGCATGACGCACCTGTTTGGCTTGGCATGCATTCAGATAGATTTGGAAGGTCGAATTGTGAGGAAGTTTTTTCAACGCTGTATACGACTAAAAGAGTGAAACCAAAGACTACGACGGCATTCACAAATATATATTTATATAATTCGTATCTTTAAAAAGCAAAGAGGCAAATGGCAAAAGGGCAAAGGGTAGTTCCCATTTTCAAGTTTTGGGATTGGAGGAAACCTTTTTTTCTTATTATTCTCCCTCCCTCTGATTAGAGTAGTCCTCCTGGCTAGCTTTTTTTGTGGAAAAGCTGGAGAAAGAGCCAATGCCAAGGAAGGCCACCGAAAAGCATGGACACCTTATCATGAAAGCAAGAAAAATTTGACAAGATTTGACGGGCCAACACGGGCCAACACGGACGCACATACGCACTCGCACACCCACACGTTTGTAATTACAGATGTGGTACTGAAACATAACAACTAATCTATAAGCTCGTAACTTCAAAAATATTATTATGCACTATTAAAACATAACAAAAAATTATTGTGCACTACTAAAACAAAATCGCTTTATAGAACTATTGTGCATGCATGTTCAAATATAGTGACAATAAATATCAACTCGTAAATTAATCAATGTAATTGTAGTTTAACACAAAACGACCATAATCTATTAGTATAAAAATTAAATTTCTCCATAACCACCTTCTCATAATTAATTAACTCTCATGCATACATGTCTCTCTTTCTCTCTCTTTCTCTCTCTCACACACAAACACAACATTCTTTTTTTTCTTGCTTTATCTTTTCATTTTTAGGTGGAAAATCCCAAGTCAACCTCACCTCATCATTTGGTCTTGGTTGTTCCAAACACCACCTCATTTCCCACTTTGTCACTTTAATAACTGTGATCATGATCTTCGTTTTTGGCCCTCTTATATAATTACTTGCTATCTAGCTCTAAGGCTCTATCATTCAGTACTCCACTCACCACATATGGGAATGAGCAGCATGAAGGTGCATCAGTTCGCACGTGGACTCTGGGAGCACGAACCCTCCCTTACGCTTGGCTGCACCAAACGCTTACGCCCTCTTGCTCCCAAACTGGCCAACACCGCGGCCGCCACCTCCGACACTACTACCACTCTCGCTCCTTTCGATCTCAAGAGTTTCATCAGACCTGAAAGTGGCCCCAGAAAACTTGGATCTTCTGACCATCTTCAGGAGAAGAAAGATTCCCCCCACCCTCAGGTACTAAATTTATCATGCAATCATACATTTCTTACATGCCTTCAACACCTAAGTTACCTGAAGAAACTAGGTTGACAAACAAGAGTGTTAAACTGTGAATTTAGACTGCAAATTTTGTTCATAATCTGCATGCTTAATATACGACTAAGACATGGAGAATAAAATGAGTTTGCTGAAAAATTGATGATGGTGCAGGTAGAGACGCACCCGGGAGGGACACGCTGGAACCCTACGCAAGAACAGATAGGGATACTTGAAATGTTGTATAGAGGAGGAATGCGCACTCCTAATGCACAACAAATAGAGCAAATCACGGCTCAACTTGGCAAGTACGGCAAGATCGAAGGAAAGAATGTGTTTTACTGGTTCCAGAATCACAAGGCACGTGAGAGGCAGAAGCAAAAGCGCAGCAGCCTCGGCCTCAGCCACTCTCCAAGAACACCGACTCCTGTAATTACCACCGTAAGTAACCCTAATTAGTCATAAAATGAAGTTGTTTATTATTTCAGCCACTGGGGTAGCTCAGTAATAAGTGTGGAAAGGGGGATGGGTAGGGGTAGCGAGGCTAGAGATACAAGGTTTAAAATCTTCCTTTGTAACAAAAAAAAAGGTGTTTATTGTTTTTATTTTACACACTCATCCAACTTATGTATATTATATGTTGTGTTTTTGTAGCCGGGAGAAATAGTAGTGGAAAGAGAGGAAGATAGTCCGTACAAGAGAAAGTGTAGGAGCTGGGGATTTGATTGCTTGGTAGAGGGTGACCATGGTAGTGTAGTATGTAAGGTCGACAACGACGACGCCGTTAAGGGAGGTAGTGTTGGAGTTATGACTCTGGAACTCTTCCCATTACATCCAGAAGGAAGAAAATGATGGGATATGCTTAATTTGACAATGTCATGTGCTTTCCTTCTTTTCTTGGTTTTCTTCTTTTCTTATTCGTTTCGGGAAAGAAGAAAGGCAAGTAATTGTCTCTTAATTTGTACTGAAAGCTAGCTCTGCTTCTAATTCTGCCTTTTGGAACCAAAAGCACTTTTATTCCAATCTATCTCTATCCGTGATGGTGGTGGTGGATGTCACTGTTTTGACTACAGCAACTTAAAACGTTGAATCGAAGCTTTTTTAGGTTAAAAGCGGGAAGCCTGCTGAAGATAGGACACTGAAGTCCACGCACCTACTTCTTCTTAACCCTCGTAGTAAGTGGTAACGTACGTCTCCTTTCATCTGGATCTTTACGAGTAATGATAGAGAGATTAAATTTATAGATTAAAATTGTAAACTAAATAATATGTCATTAATAGAAATGAGTATGTCTATCAACGTTTAAGTAATAAACCAATCATCAACTTACAAGTCCTTTAATTTTCAAAATTTAGTTTCCCTAGCATTACTCTACATTTCAAAAATTGGAAAAGAGAAATGTCTTCTAGCGCCAATGTCAAAAAATTATATTAATATAATCCACCACTTATATGACTTTCATAAAAGTTGCCCTATCATTGTCATTGATTATTAAGAGACGTGCATTATTATTAGTTTTTCATCATTGCCTTCCATATATTTCTTTTCTTTTACTATAGCTAGTGGAACTAGGTGGGAGTGGGATTATCACTTGTTAACTGTGGGGAAAGTGATTAGCTTTAGGGAGGGAAAGAATGAAAGATCATATACAATTTGAAATAGCGAAATTTTGGAACCGATTATCTCATAGTATGAATCAAGTGAATGAACGGCTGAGTGTGTAAGATTCAATGATTAGGATCCAACAATTAATAATATAATCTCGATTATACCATGCAGCAGTCTATACTTGACAAACTCCTAAACCTTAAACCCTTATTTTTTGAACAAATGATATTATCTATACTAAAAGGTGGGGAAGTGGGCTAAGCCTCACAATGTGCTAGCAATAATGTGGTTCAAATTCGCATTTGGCGAAAATCGAACCTAAGACCTATTATTTACAAGTGAAGAGGAATACACTAAACCGTAGTACTAAGTGGCAAAATAGACAGATATTTTGAATCTCTCAAGTATGATCCATCTATTTCAAAATTTAATTAGCCATATAATTCAAACTTGTCATTTAGTATTTTTTTTCAGGGGGATTTTAACTTTAATCCTTGAAGAAGTTTGAAATTTAAAATAAATCTGGTGTTAGATTACATATTGATTATAGTCCCTTGATGTGTCCTTAATTCAAAATAATTAATGTGTATTTTATTCAATGTCTCCCATTAAATATTTAAATTTATTAATATACACATTCTAATTTTTTTTTTGACAAATTTTTTTTATTAATTTATTAATTTTATTTAACATTCTTCAAACTTAAAAGATTCAATTAATGTACCTAAATGTTAGTACCGAAATGTATTATATTGAATTAATGTATTTAAATGTATGCACCGAAATGTATTATATTAAATTAATGTACCTAACTGTAAGTACCGAAATGTATGCTCCGAAATGTTAGTACCGAAATGTAAGTACCTAAACGTTTGTATTGGAATGTATGTGGCAAAATGTGTGTACCTAAATGTATGCACCGAAATGTATTATAATGAATTTAATGTACCTAAATGAAGAAGACCAAGCATATCGAAATATATTGTATAACAAAAATTAGTTTATCTAAATGTTTAGAACAAAACATATTACAATGAATGAAATGAAAAATTAATACATTAAAATTAGAAAGAAAAAGAGAAATAATTAAAACATCAAAATGTAATTAATAAATGAGGTGATTAATGTATCAAGGGACTAAATTTAGATTTTGATCTTACTCATGATTTTAGTCTAAAAGTCATCTTTGTCAAGGATTAAAATGAAGTTCCCTATTATTTTTTTTATAACAACTTCAAACTAGTAGTTAAGAACGTGAAATCCACGTTTATATTACATATGTGACAAGAAAAGAGCAAAATTGTAAAAATATGGTGAAAAGAATGCAAATAAGTAATTAAGATTGAAGTGTTGGAAATATTGGCGATGTGGATGCTATTTCCTACAACAGATCACACAAGATAAATATTAATTAGTAAATGATACTTTATGTTGACATGGTCAATCGTATAAAATAATGAAACAACAACAAAATACTAATATTTTTCAAGGTACAAATGTTTTTTCGTCGGTACTTGATTAAAACAAAATTTTAGGTTGAGGTGTGTAAGTTCACTATCCTTAATAGTATATTTCGCTCCTTGGAGATAATGTCTCGGTGTAGCAGATTATGGCGCCATACCCTTTAACATACAAATACCTATAATCCTAGTAAGCATACACTCGCAGTACTTAAATCGGATGAATAACTTGATTCTTCCATTGGTACAACAATGGAATGCCATATCAACATTTGAAAGAATGAAGAATCCATCAACGGGACATGACAGAATTGGAGAGGAAAAGAAATCGATGAAATATATATAAGAAATCAAAATGGTATATCTCTTTGGCACAACGTCAAGGGGAGTTTACATGGGGCAATGGGTAATTAAACATGAGACATATAATTAGCTAATTGAATGAGGAAAACGTTACTATATAATTGTCCAATTAATGGGTTAATCAAGATGGCATTTTCAAAGATAAAATGTGATATAGAGCCCCAACATTATAACTCCTTTAATGCGTCAGTTCTGGTTTGCAGACAAAACCTAAATTAAAATTAAAAGAAATCATTAAGAATGATATTATTATGACCAATGAATTGCTTTGACTCATGAATTATATTTTGAAATACCCAATCAAACATTCCAAGATGAAGTGTACATGTTGAATTATAACAACATTATTTAATGGAGCTTTAGGATCACCATATATAACCAAACAAAGAGTGCCTTGTGCATGCATGCAACGGCTTTTTAATATTTACGTCCGATAGAGAGCTAATATACATGTGTGTGTTGCAAGTTTGCAACTGCTTAGTGCTAATTAAGTAGGTTATCTTATGTCCTCCAACACAACTAATACATTATTGCATGAAATTGGTTTCATGCAACAACGCACATTATAAGTTAGATTTTGATGGGCCACGCATATATATGGCAATCATGGCAGTATCTCACAGTTGACTATATATGCCAAATGCCAATCAACTTTTGTTTGTGCATCAAAAGAGACAACATCTCAAAACCTCTGTCCATCTGATCGGAAATATGAATGAGGTTATGTACTAGTGCGGCGATTCAGTCCAATCACGACCGCATAAATTGACTTGTCATGCACCGATATTTGATGAATAGATCGTGCAGGCTGTGCATGCTTCATCTTAATGCATGCGTACGAAATATAAGTACCAAGTGTCGCATTTTACAACTCATAGCATGATTCAATTGGATTTCATTTAAATGAAAATATTGTCACCATATAAGTGAGGCGGTCCGACATACAAGCAATATTTTTACTTTAAATTATTGAGAGAGGAGAGAGTTTGAATTTGAAACATAGTGGGTTAAAAGAAATGAAAACTAATTAAAATGGCTTGAAAATTTTGAGTTTTAATGATAAGGAGAAAATAAAGGGTAAAGTGAATAGTACCAGGATTGACTTTTTAGTATAAAAATGTGGTTTTTCGTTAAAGTGAATAGTACCACGGACTTTTCGTTAAAACTCCCTTAAAAGAAATGTTGGGGATCCTGTTACAGATTTCAACAATTATTATATATATTAATATATAATATATGGATATATATGACCTAGTGCTGCTGCGATCCGCAGAATGTGTGCGGCAACATATGTGTAGAAATGTTGGATTTAATTCAACCTTGTAACTGTTGGTTGAACTACAACTTTTGGTTAAAAGACATAATGTTTACTCAAATTGTATGAGTAGAGTTAAAAGATGTAATTAGTCAATAATTATTTTCTGAAAATTATAAATAGAAGACATGTCTTTTGGATCAACACTATTAAGAAGGGTTGTATATCTTCAACTAAAATGAAGGGATTCGATCAACGGGTGCTTTAATGTCTATAAATACCTATTGTGGCATAATGTTTCAAACATAATTTTAGAAATTTGTTTCTACATTCCTTGTTCTCTTCTCTCTCCATCACATTCATACAATTTCTTTCTAGTTATTTCTAAGATAATATAATTCGGTTTTGCTAATCGAATATTCCATACTTTGTTGTATCCTGGAAGTGATTTGCCAAGAACCCTTTAGCAAACTCATTTGAGTGGAGGCAAATAACACTTTAAGAAAACGATTCAAGTCGTACCTTAAAGTCATCTTCGAACTATTCTCTATATTTCTACATTTACTCTAACAGATCCACCACTTAAGATCAGTGCAAAATCATATGACCTTAGTAGGATTTTAAGACAAAAGAAGTCGGTGCAAACAATAATTAAGCCACTCAATATGAACTGTATTCCGCTGTATTCGACTTTAAAGTTGGAATTGACATTCTTCAACGAAATTGAATGGAACAATTTAATTGATCGAAAAAACAAGAATGGACCGATTCTCGCGCGTTGGAGTCCCGATTCAAAATCAACCCATAAGGTTTCAAAGTCTTAAGTTTGGATCCCATGCAAGATATACATTGTCCCAGTACCATTAGCTAGTTCTTGGTCCAACCCAATCTTCATGAAGATGCATAGGACTAGGACCCAATTATACCCCGACCAAAAGTAATCTATCAAGCCCAAGACTAACATATTATCTTAAAAGTGTCTAGCACGCGCACCTGACTACACGAAATTTCATTTTGAACTCCTTATCTCGAAGCCGTGGGCGTTCCACCTGTTTGCATTCGTTGATGCCTGCGTCTTCGACCTTTCTTTGCAAAAAGGGAAGGGAGCCTTTCTGTAACGGCGACAGAGGGGTGTTGCCGGAAGTTGTTTTGAAAAACAACATAAATACAACTTCTTCTACGATATTTCGGGCTTGCAAGGTAAGTATTTTGGGCCTTTATCAAGCCCAACTCTTGTGGGCCTGGTGCGTCACATGCCCTAACACAACGTCACTGTGCAAAATCCGATGACCGTTTTAGCCGTTAAAAACACACAAAAACCCCGATCCGACGGCCCGTATTTAGTTTCCAAAAAACAACTAGGGTTTCCGAAAGCCCACACCCTCACCAACGCACCCTATATAAGTTAAGCAGTTAAATCCTCAGCCGGTGCGGTGCAGTTTTTTCTACTCTGCCCTCCTCCACCCCAAAAACCCCAAAAAAATAAAAATTTCGGTTTTCCGTTCGGTTACTCCGTCGCGCCCGGTTCGGATCCCGGACGATTTATCCCAAAAAATCTCAGAAAAACCAAAAAATCAGCCAGAGTTTCACTTCCGGTCCTTGGGTTTTTCTAAATTTTTAGTTTCGATCCTTTGAGTTTGCAGAAAAAT